GGGGGGGGGGGGGGGGGGGGGGGTCCAATCCTGCCAATCCTGCTGACTGGGGAGGAAGGGTGGGAAGTCCCCGCACGACCGATCCCGCAGACCCACAAGTAGCAGTGGTGCTGGCACTTCTGGGTGAGCGTAATCGGCAGTGGGGGGACCGCGGGGATCACTTCTCCGGGTGCCCCCACTCCCCAGACGGTGCTCTCAGGGGGGCACCTGCCCGGGAACGCTGTCAGGGGGTGCACCAGTGCTTTCAGGGGGTGCACTCCCTTGCACCCCCTATGAATCGCTACTGCAGCCCCATGAGAAAGGGGCAGGGTGGGAGGAAGTAAGGGTGGTGCTTATCTCCTGAACTCTAGAGCTGTGTGAAAGTAGAGGCTATAGCTCAAACCTGCATGGGTCAAAGGGTGAGCTCAGAGCTCAAAGCACATGCGAGGCTCCAGCCAGAGCTGTGCTGACATGCCAGTACTGACATGCACCACACAACTGAAGGGGTTGTGATCTTGGATCCGGCCCTGAGTTTAAGCAATAGGCAAAAACTTAGGAGAGTTCTTGTTATGCAAATGATGCACTTATCTAGAGATGTAAGATGTATTCTGACATGGAGAAAGGAAACCTTTTTCATTATTTCACTACAAAACAAGCACAAAAGGGCCTATTTTTGCCATGCTTACCCTTATCTGTACTGCCATTTGAGAGCTGAACGACAGCGCTCAAAGTGGGTAAGAGTAGAAGATTCTGGCTTTAGAGGTACTGCAACAGAAACAGAAGACTAAACATAAACAATACTGAACGGGAGCTGAATCCAAAAATACAGCGAAAGGAGTCCTTAGAGGAAGCATTTGGGACATGCATTGAAGAGCTGAAAACATTTCTCCCATGTAATCTTCAAACCCCAGCACTGTGACAGTTCACATAAACCGCAGGGAAAATTGAGTTCCCCACAAAAAGGAATGGAAACATCAGTATCCAATCCTAGAAGACGTTGAAGCAATCCTGCCAAGTGCCAAGAGCAGTCAGCTGTCATTTTGCATATAAAGGATCCTGGATTTAAAGATGCCCAGCACTGGTCCGCGCTATCTAGTCCCAGGCCTTTGACGATCAGGTCTTTTGTAAATCCCCATGCAGCACCTGATCCTGGAGGATGTTGAGCAACTCATAAGGTGCTGGGAGCACAGGGAAGATGGCAACACTCTGAAGAGGTACAGGCTAGGGGACCAGAGTCATTATCCTAACAGCTGCATTTTTAATAATAATAATTATCCTAAATAGTCAGTATCTGCAGTTTGTATCAGGACCCTGCTTACTTCTGTACCAAGCTGTAAAACAAGCTGCCTCTGTGCAAATTAGAGCCTGTGCAGAAGCAAGCAAGATGCATATACAGCACCTGTATCACTAGCCCAAACACACAGACAGCTGGAGCGTGTCAAGGAGGATGCAGCAAAAACACACACACGGAGCCTCTGACTGCTCCTGCTCAAGTCCTTCAAAAACAGATGCATGGTTGTCACAGGTACCCATGCTATGAGTGACCATGGCTGAAACAAGGGGTCCTGGCAAGGCTTTAACTGGATTCTCTCCCTGCCCCCAAAGCAGAAAAATAGTCAGACTTTTACACAGCTTCTGCCTGGAACTTACACACACACGTGTGCACACAATCTACGTCCAGAGCTGGAAACTACAGGTAGAAGCAACATGAGCCCACACCTGAATCTGGGTGTACACGCACGCATGCACACAACCTGTGCCCACACTTGGAATTGGCATGTATGCACACACACTCAACCTGCGGTCACATCTGGTATCTGTCTGTACATACATGCACAACCTGTGCCCACACCTGGAATCAGCACGCGCGTGCACACGCACACACACACACACACACAGTCAACCTGTGCCCACACCTGGAATCTGCACAACTTGTGCCCGCACCTGGAATCAGCATGCGCGTGCGCACACACACACACACACACACACACACACACACACACACACACACACACACACACACACACACACACACACACACACAGACCCCA